GACCAGATTGAACCCTGCTAAGAGCTTTATATTTATCTTTTCTACTTCCGTTTCACAATAAAAAAATCTGTATACATGAAAAATAGTTTTCATAACAGATTTAATAAAATTATTATCAATTCAAAATAAAATGAGTATTTTTTAAGGAACATCGATCACTCATAGTTAGGTTCTTTTATTTCTTATGGCGTCGTAGATATAATTTAGTTATCTGTATCTGTTGACTTCTATACAATAATATAATCACCATTACCATGTTTTTAGAATTTTATGATGGTTAAGATTTGACGTCAAGATATGTATTCGTAATATATATATTTAAAATATAAATACATGAATTTACTTTTCTTATAGTTTTCCTTATAAATCATATAGTATCATGATTCCATAGTAGCAGGAGTATTTTCTTCTCTATTTTTCATTTACATTTTTATGATTATTTGAGCGACCGGTAAAATTTTAGAACATGAGCCAACACAACGTATTTTATTTTCAAGAATACCTACGAAGTAGATTTTTTTTCTCGCACCATAAATTTAGTCGTGATAATTTAAATTAGCAGCTTGATTTATATGTTATAATTTTTTTAGGTTTTTTGTTTTTTACTTAATCAATATAGGAGAAAAGGGTGGACACCGGCTGATTAAGTTTTTTTTGAAAACTATTATGATAAATAGTGATTTACATCTGACTAATATAGCATGGAAATAGGAGTTATCATATAGCATAGAAATTGGAGAGAATTAAAGGGATAGAGGGGAGAGCGTACATATCTGATCTCCCGTACGCACGGCACCAAGCGGGATATGGATTTTTTTTCCAAAAATATATCTAATTCCATATAATGTTGGGTCCACCAAATAAGTGTAAATCAAATAACTGAAAATCTGAAATAGCGGGTCTACCGGTTTATTAGATTACCACGTGGCGGCTTAGAAGCGTTTGTAGAAGTCCCATGTAGCGGCATGAGAGCGTTTGTAGGAAGTTTAATGGACTTTTAGTATATAATAGATAGGTAGATAATAGATAGATATGGGTACGTTTAGTTCGCGTAGTATGTCATATCAGATATACGGACTCACATTCAAAGTATTAAACGTATAATAATAACAAAACAAATTATAGATTCCACCTTAAAACTATGAAATAAATTTATTAAATCTAATTAATTCATCATTACCAAATACTATTTCGTTCCAAAAAGAATCCTAGCGATCAAATGATTGCTAGAGTGTCTTTTTTTTTTAACTCCTACATGCGATTGTTGAGGCAAAAGGCTGCAGAGGTGCAGGCGTTTCAGTGTTTTCGCAGCCTTTATTGTTTTTGCTGTGATGAACAGCTCGTGTAGTACTACTGGATGAGAAGAGAACAGTTTCTCTTTTTTGGATTCCCTGTATCCAGCTTTGCGCGTGATGGCTTGTGTAGAGTTGTAGTAGTACCAGCTGTGGCAGCTGTGTGTTGAGATGGATGCAGTGCACTTGTAGCTTAGCTTATCCACAGTGTAGGCTTTGTTTCTTCCATTCCTTTTTCACGTAAAATGAAATTAACAACGAAACGAACCGATCAATCAGGGCTACCTGAGCATGCAGCAGCAAGCATCCTGGATGCATAGCCACGCGCCTTTGTTTTTTACTACGCGATGTGTGGTGGCTTGTGTACTGCGTCAAAACAAATGAAAAATTGTCTCGATATGCTACTGACACGTGCGCGAACTGCGAAGCCGGTGCAGCTCCGGCTGTTTGGTAGCCAGAGCTTCACTGGATTTTTCCTTTTGATTTGTACTCCACGAAAGAATTTTTTTTCCTTTTTCTTGTGTAGCCAGAGCGTCTGTTTATTACTGTGCTACTAGAATATATAGTAGCACATTCCAAAATAAGCAAGCGCTGAATATGTTAGAGCATTAATTAATATTACAATGAATCTAGATACGCGTCTGATAAGTCTGGATAACCACTTATCCAGGTTCGCTATACTAGTTAACTTCTCATTTTATTTTAAATTAGTTTTTTTTAAAACGGATGAAGTACTTTCTCCGTCACGAAATAAAATTCCTTGTAGTATTATCCTACTAGTAGTTTGGAACAGAAGGACTGAAGGACTATCGGCCCAGTGTGTTTATTTGGAGAATTGGAGGTACCTATACTTTTGGCCCAGATTTGGCGGTTCGTGCTAACTGCCTAGCTAGTTTTTGTGAACTAGTTTGGGCCTGAATCTGAATTGCTGTTTGTAAACTGAGAGGACCCGGCTACACCTCCAATTTTATTTCTGAAGATAGCACGTACCAATCTATCCAAAAACAACGAGATGACCATATATAGAGTAGGTTATTAATCTTTCCTTTCCATCTCCCTTTTAGAAAGTGGCTCGCAAAGCTTACGAGTGTGCAGGCCAGTTTAAGAAATTATAACAAACAGTCCTTGGCTCCTTAAACAGTTTAGCACAGGGGATCGCAGTAAAAGACATATATGTGGGGTGTTACACTGTTACAAAAGCCGGTACTGCTAATTAATCACCCTCAGTTAATGGACCGTACGTACTGTCTGCACAGACAGGGCGTAATGCATCATTCAGGCGTGTAACTAATCTCTCGTCATATTTACTGCGGTTTGCACGCCTTTAATTACCCTATCCACGCTGTGTACGTACTACCTACCCTCTCTCGGTAATCATAAAAAACCAACTTTAAAGGATGCTTATTGAGATTCATTTCTTAGAAATTGATTTCCATATTCATCTCCAGAATTTTTTTTTACGAGATGAAGGGTGTATACGTTGTACATAGTTTACCGCATTTACGCGACAATAATGACTTGTTTAGATTGTACACATAGCCACTTTCAACTCTACTACTCTGTCCCAGAAAGAATCAAACCCTGGGCTTGAATCTGGACACATATGTGTCTAGATTCAAATCTAGAGTTTGATTTTTTTGGGACGGAGGGGTACACTGCTAGAGAACTCATCTTTTATCCAATGCTCCAAACACATAAATACTACTCCCTCCATCTATTTTTGATAGACATATTTTCAAATCTGAAAAAAATTATTTTTGATAGGCATATTTCAATCCAACAGCCTATCAACTTAATGACTTTCTCGAATTTAATGCGTGACTCTTTATTCTTTCACGCAAGATTGGCTACATAGGTATCGAGAAATGTAAATATTAATGAATCGCTTGTTTACGAGAAATGACTAGTAACATGTTTAAATAGATGGTAAGTAGAATTACTTACCCATGGTCTATGTGTTAAGATCAAATATAACTATTAAAAGTAGATGGAGAAAGTATCTTGGATGGACTAAGAACCGATACTTAATCTCTTTAGTACCGATTCTAAAAACACAAGTCCCTAAAAACATCTTTAGCATCCAGTTGATGTTACCAACCGGAACTAAAAATGCATTTTTAGTACCGGTTCGTGTTACTAACTAGTACTCCCTCCATCCCAAAATGTTTGACGCCGTTGACTTTTTAAAAAATGTTTGACCATTCGTCTTATTCAAAAAAATTAAGTAATTATTAATTCTTTTCCTATCATTTGATTTATTGTTAAATATACTTTTATGTATACATATAGTTTTTCACATTTTATAAAAGTTTTTGAATAAGACGAACGGTCAAACATGTTTAAAAAAGTCAACAACGTCAAACATTTAGGGAATGAGAGAGTACTAAAGATGTATCCAGGATTAGTTCAAAAAGGAAACAACTCTATCCAAATTAGATGTTTGTAGTAGGTGGAATGGTAACACGTGTGAGGGTTGAAATGCGAGATCTTGAGTTCGAATCCTACATCCTACATATTTTTTTTATTTGGTATGCATCTTATCTCGATTTATTGATCAGGTTGCTATAACTGGGATTAATGGTATGTATTTTGTCTCGATTTGCTACTCACGGTTGCTATAACCGGGATTAATGGGGTTCTCAACTGGTGTTAAAGATGATTTCTCTACTAGTCCTAGTGGTAGATTTTGGCATCACCCAACACGTTGGTTGTGTTTAGTTCAATGCCTTGCGAAAATATGGCAAACTTTTGAAGAGCGAAAAATATAGAATTACCACATTAGTTTGTTGCCTTAAAAAATTTGATAATGCTAAAATTTAGTATGGTTTAAAACGGCAATAAAGCGAACCAATTTTGGGAAAGCACCATTGTTGTGGTGTAGTAGTGTGTGCATAATTCAAATTCTGGTGCTCATGAATATTCCGCATATGTAGGTAGATTTTCAACAAGATTCGGTAAGATCAGGGATGTGTGCTGCTAGTTTTTATTTCTTAGACCATGTGTTCGGGGACGTATTTATAGGAGTATGAGTGTGGTGTTGCATATACTAGCTCTGTTCGTAAGTCCTAGTTCCCAACCCCATCCGCCTTGTTTTCCACGCGCACGCTTCCCAAACTGTTAAATGGTATGTTTTCTGTAAAAAGTTTATACATAAGTTGCTTAAAAAATCATATTGATCCATTTTTGAAAAAAAATATTAGCTAATACTTAATTAATCATGTGCTAATGGACCGCTCCGTTTTCCGTGCGCAAGAGATGGTTCCCAACCCATTCCAGCGAACACAGCCTTAGCTGTGTTCGGTTTCAAGGGATGGGAAGTAATCCCTCCCGCACAGAAAATGGAGCGATCCATTAGCACGTGATTAATTAAGTATTAGCTATTTTTTTGAAAAAAATGGATCAATATGATTTTTTAAGCGACTTTCGTATAGGAACTTTTTTAAAAAAAAACACACCGTTTAGCAGTTTGGAAAACGTACGCGTGTGGAAAATAAGAGGCGAGAGTTGGGATCCCCTGGATAGGAACGCAGCTAGTGGTGTGAGCGTGCACGTGAATAGTAAAGAAAAAAAAAAGAAGGGTGAACAAAGCCCTAAAACGTTAAACCCGGAGAAATATAATGGTTTTTCTCCGCGCGTGATGGAGATTACTTGCTCCCTTGCAACGCTAGCTAGCCGGCACGCATGCGTATGTGCACGTAAGTGCTTCGTTCGCTACCTTAAAATGGTGGGAGATCACCATGTGTGTGTGGTGTGTTTGAGAGCGAGAGAGAGATGCCTTGCTTGAACACCGGAGACTCGCGCGCTGCTGATTATACCAAACCCAAAACCCCCTCGCCGGTGTAACCCCAGATTCCTCCCACCCCCCCTCCCGGCCCCGCCGCGCTCGCGCGCGGCCGCCGCGTTCGCCCGCGTTAAAAACCTCGCGTTCTTGAAGCAGCAGCAGCAGCAGGAGGAAGAAGAAGAAGAAGAAGAAGCGGGTGATCGAACGAAGCTACTAGCGCGAGCGCTTCCCGAGAGAGATCATCGGTTAGCGAAGCAACTAGCGGCATGGCGATCGGGGGAGGGATCATCGGCGGCGGGGGGCACCACTCGGCGGTGGCGGCGCGGGTGGCGGCGGCGGCGCACGTGCTGTTCCTGACCACCGCGGTGCTCATGCTGGTGTGGCTGCTGCACTTCCGCGGCGGCATCAACATCCAGTCCGACGACCCCGAGCAGATCTTCAACGTATGCATACTTAACACTTCAATTCTTCGATCTTTATCATATTAATTAATTAATCTGCCCTGATTGATTTCATGATTTCCTTGGCAAATAGTAAAACGTTTGTTGATTAATTAAAGCTCGTTTCATTCGCGCTTCTGATAACACTATTGTTTCTCCAACAATGCAGGTCCATCCATTCGTGATGTGCTGGGGGTTCATTCTTCTAATAGGAGAAGGTATGTGACATCGATCATGTTTTATCCGAAATTCGCTTCAGGATATATGTTTTTACATTGAGAATTTAGCCCCTCAAATATCACAATATGAAATTCGCTACTATGAAGATTTGAAACTCAGAATTTTAAAGTGGATTCGTATCATTTCGCTCATGTGACATCGATCACGTACATACATACGTTGTTTGAAAGTTCAATGTACGGTTCGATCATGTGTTGTTGATCTGGTAAAACAAATACTGCCCAGTACCAACCTAACACACTCTGAATCGATGTGAATTAGTGTCTAGTAAATAATTAAGGTCCAGTAACTAAGCGCTGCTCTGACAAAACGTTGCAACAAATTAAATTAACCAATGCCAAAAGGGGCGGAGCTAGTATATATTAGGGGTGCCCAGGAACCTGGTTAAGAAATTTTTTTAGCTATAACTCATCTATTTTCATCATGTATGCATCCCCTCAATACAAACTTAGGTACTCGCATAAGGTTAAACTCGATCAAAAGTAGAGTAAATTATGCAAGTGGTACCACCATCCATTTCGCTCTAGCTCCGCCCTTACAAAAGCCCCCTGAAGATGGATCGATGTAGTAGTAGTAGTGTTGTTGTCAACATGGGCCATCATCGGCCACTGGCTTTTAGTGAGAAGATTACAATAATTTGTTCAGTAATCAGCACTACTGCACTGCACTTTATTTAGTAGGATATGGGCTTCTGTAGAGGTTTGGTGGCTGCAAAAGGCATTCGACCTGTGCCTAGCTCATTTGATCAGTGCAAATCAGTGTGTTGGGTGGTTGTCCTTACCAAGGGTCACCTCTGATTTTCGCGATAATGAACCCCTGCGATCGCTACGTTTTCCTGCCAAGTTCAGTCCAACTGATCGATGTCCTAGTTATTTTTCCATGCAATACTATTTTGCCAGGTAGCACAAAAAGTTTTTTTTTTCAAGAACAAGGATAAAGTTGAAGCCACATAAGCACTGAGAGAACTTTTCAAAAAGTTAATAACATTTTTGCAAAGTACAATCATAATGCCACTTATTATATTTTATAGTTCTATTATAATTCAAATCTGATGGTAAGAACTTTAAGTCTTCGATAAAATCCTGTACTACTAAACAACAGGTAACTATAGCTTGGAGGAAACGAAAGAAACTATAGATTAATATTAATCTGAAATTTTAGATATTCTCACATTAATCTAAGGGCATGTTCTCTTTGATGTCAAAAAAAAAAAACTTTACCAAATTTTGGTTGCCAAATTTTGGCAGGATTTCTTGTATAGTTATCAAAATTTGACAGCAAACTAAATGTAGCCATTTTTTTTAGTAACTTTACCAAAATTTGGTAAGATTAAAAATGGCATCAAAGTGAACAGGCCATAAGGCTATGTTTGGCACGACTCTTTTATCTTAGATATGGTAAATTTGAAGTTTGTATGTTAAATTATAGTAATTTAAAATTTTAAATTTCATATAAAATATGACGTAATCAAAGAACCAGATTTATGGATTCGTGAAACTAGAAATACCCTGTTTCAGAAAATCTTGGATCCAGAGTTGTGTGCAAAGAGGGCCTAAAAAACAAAAAAAAAATGCAGCTATACTGGCGTACACGACGATCCCGATGGATCACCGGACGCAGAAGATGGTGCACATGCTGGTGCACCTGGTGGCGCTCATCCTCGCCATCTTCGGCGTCTACGCCGCGTTCAAGTTCCACGACGCCGCCGTGGCGCCCGACCTCGTCTCCCTCCACTCCTGGCTCGGCATCCTCGCCGTCGCCCTCTTCGGCCTCCAGTGGCTCTTCGGCTTCTTCGCCTTCTGGCTCCCGGGCACCCACGAGCGCACGCGCGCCGCCGCCGCCCCCGCCCACGTCGCCGCCGGCCTCGCCATCTTCATGCTCGCCGTCTGCGCCGCCGAGACGGGACTCGTCCAGAAGAGCGCCGCCGCCGCGTCCGCCGGCGAGGCCAAGCTCATCAACGTCACCGGCATCTTCATCCTGCTCTACGCCGTCGCCGTCGCCGTCGCCGTCGCGCTCCGCAAGGCCTTCTTCTACTGAGGCGTGGCGTGCGTGAGAGCCGTTGGATGGCTTGTGCGGCTAGATGTTGTTTGATCTGATCCCGATTTGATGGCGTTGGTGATTTTTATGTGGTGTGAGTGAATTTTTTTTCTGTTACATTTATACAGTGAACGTATGTTCACCGAGTGTATATAAAAAAGTGACATAATTTTTACTGTGATGAATAAAGGAAAAGGGTACGTGTAAAAAAAATTGTAACTAACTTCTTAATTACTAACTCCGATGTGGGATTGAATCAAATGGTTGATAGCTCTGTTAGTAAGAAAAAGTTAAGATTATGTTAGAGCAAGTTTAATAATATAACCAATTACTGGTTCGAAATCATTTATAATCAATCTAATAGCTTATTCATATAATAGTCGTGTTGCAGCTGGCTACAAATTTGTAGTCCGATTTCCTCTCTATCCTCTCTTCTCTCTTTCATATATGCTTATAGCTGACTTAGCCTGCTATTGTACTTGGCTACTTGCTCTTAGTAGGCATAGCACTGCTCAACGATAAAAACCGAGATAGAATCCTCGCCCCCCAAAAAATAGGGAATAAGTTCACTTGAGGTCCCTTAACTTATCAACAAATCCGATTTTCGTCCTTCAACCAAAAAACAAGATATAATGGGTCCCTCAACTATTAAAACCGGTGCAAAGCATGTCCCTCAGCGGTTTTGATGATGGTTTTGGCTGATGTGGCACCTATGTGGCCGGTTTGACTTGGTCCTCGTACTACGTGGCGGTGACTTGGCATTGGAAGCAAAATATAAAAATAAAAAATAAAAACAAAATGTGGGGCCCACATGTCAGTCAGACAAAAGGAAAAAAGAGTGGGACCCACCATCCTCTTTATCCACGGACGACTGGACGACGGGAGAGGGAGCGACCGACGCCTCCTCTCTCTCCCTCCCGGCATCCTTCCTTGTTGGCCGGCGAGCGCGCACGGAGAGGGAAAAAGGCATCGGCCAGCGAGAGGGGCGGAGACAGCCGCTGGCCGCCGCCCACTGCGCAGTACTAGGGTTGCGGAAGTCGGAGGGCGGCAGGAGGATGGCGTGGATGACAGTGAGGAGGGTGCAGACGAACTAGTCCGGGAGGTCGGCGCCGTTGGCCTTGAGCTTGGTGTCGCAGTCGGCAACTCCATCTCCAAGGTTCTCTGGATGGCCACCCTCCACCCCACCTCGCTGCCCAGTAAGCTTCTTCTACCTTAAAGTTCTCATCCGCCATTGTTGCAACCAAAAACTGCATCAAAGCTCTAACCGATCTATAGATTTCACGCAGACTGGAACAGGATGCGGATCTCGGTGAACATTATCACGCAGAACCGCGCCAAGTCGCTGCGGCGGCTGCTTGCGTCGCTGCGGAACGCATGCTACGTCGGCGATGAGGTGGTGCCGATTAGCTTCAACATGGACAGCCGCGTCGACGCGGCGACGCTGAACGCCGTCAACTCTTTCGACGCTGAACCAGTACTAATGTGATTCACTCCACCTGACTGACATTGCTCAAAGTTGAGGTTTATAATTTACCTGACATTGTTCTCTGCAGCTTGTGCTATAGCAATTAGTACTGGTAACAAATTACATTGTGTTTCTTGACATGCTCTACCCCTTGTATATATGTACACAGCAACAAGACATGTCCATGGTGATGAACCTGCTCTACATAAAGCAACACCAGGCTTGCGCCCTCTCCTCATCCACCACAGCTGGAAGATGGAATCCATCCTGGACCACATGCTCAGGGAGGCCGGCGTCGTGATCCAGCAGCAGCAGGCGGAGGAGAAGAACAGCAGCGGCGGCACGGCCATGGTGCCGCCACCACCGTGCCCCGGAAGTAGCGTGACCTGCTACGTGTGCTTTGAGGAGGTCTCACCGGACGCCGATCAGCTTTAGCATGGACAGCTACATCGACGCGGCGACGCTGAACGCCGTCAACTCCTTCGACTGGCCGCACGGCGGCAAGACGCTGCAACGGAGGATCATCCAGGGCGGGCTGATCCGCGTGCAGAGGGCAGGCGGCCAACGGCCGTCTCCGCCCCCCTCGCCGGCCAACGCCTTTTTCCCTCTCCGTGCACGTTCGCCGGCCAGCGAGGAAGGATGTCAGGAGGGAGAGAGAGGATCAGAGGAGGCGTCGGTCGCTCCCTTTCCCGTCGTCCACTCGTCCGTGGATAGAGAGGATGGTGGGTCCCACTCTTTTTTCATTTTGTTTGGCTGACATGTGGGCCCCACATTTTTTTATTTTTTATTTTTGTATTTTGCTTCCAATGCCACGTCATCGCCACATAGGATGAGGAATAAGTCAAACCGGCTACGTAGGCGCCACATCAGCCAAAACCACCATCAAAACCGCTGAGGGACCTGATTTGCACCGGTTTTGATAGTTGAGGGACCCGCTGTATCTGGTTTTCCGGTTGAAGGATGAAAATCGAATTCGTTGACAAGTTAAGGGACCTCAAGTAAACTTTTTCCAAAAAATAGAGAGAAACCCAAAATTGAGAAGATTAGGCCTTTTACTTTGCAAAATAAAGCCCATAAGGACTCGCTAGAAGGGCCCAAAAATTGCTCAAAAGCCCAAATTGAAAAGGCCCAAAGTTTGGACGCCCAGAAGGCCAGAACTCAAAACCTAAACCGGTTCAAGTTCACAGAATTCTTGTGCTCCTCCTGTCCTACTCTCACCACACAAAAAAGGCAATGTCAATTTTCTCTTTTCCTGAAATTGACGGCATGATTCTCTCTCAAGTAAAGTAAAAAAAAAGGAACAAATGCTAAGCATGATTCCATCCAATCGGGAGTGCATAATCTCGCCGTTTTTGACTGACAGTGAGATAATGCTGGCTAATCCTGTTCTCCAAAGGGCGGTTAAAAGAAGAGAGTGCCCTTCTAGAACGTTAGACAGACATCACCAGATTATCTTGTCCCGGCCAAGCAGTAGAATCAGTGCCATGTTGCAAGAATCAGTAGCATCAGAACAATACTAGCAATTTATGCGATGACAATTGACTTATCGACATGGAAATTTTTTTTGACAGGAACACCAAGAAATGAAGAGGTCAGGTAGAGCGGAATCTACGGCAACACTTTGCAAACTCAATACTAACATTTTTCATTATTATAAACTAGCATGGTGGCCCGCGCAGATTGCGCGGCTAGCATCATTATATTATTCTCATATATATATATATATATATATATATATATATATATATATATATATATATATATATATATATATATATATATATATATATATATATATATATGTTTTCTCATTATATTATTAAAATATATTACAATGACAACATAATTTTAAATTTTGCAATAACTCTACAAAACTACTAATGTGTAATATTTATATTGTATTTTATATACGTATTAGTTATTAATTATTTTTAATATCAAATTTTAGTTTTGTAAATTATATATATTCCTATATGGACTCTAGACTCGTCTTTTAATATTTCTTTTTTTAATTCTGAATTTTTATTATTTCTAATTGTATTTCTATGTGGACTCTAAAGTCATCTTTCAATATTCTTTAATTTTAAATTTCAAATTTCAGTTACTTCTAAATTGTATTCCTATATTGACTTTAAACTCTTCTTCCCACGTTTTTCTTAATTGCAAATTTTAGTTATTTGTAAATTATATTTTTATACGGACTCTAAACACTATTTTCATTTTATTATGTTTATTCCGAATTTTAGTTAGTTTTAAATTTCTATATGGACTCTATACTCTACTTCTAATATTCTTTATTTTTTAATTTCAAATTTCTCTTTTTTTTCTTAATTGTATTTCTATATGGACTCTATACTCTACTTCTAATATTCCTTATTTTTAATTCCGAATTTCTATTATTTCCTAATCGTATTTGCTTTATACTCTACTTCTAATATTCCTTATTTTTTTAGTTCTAATTTCAGTTATTTCCTAATTGTATTTCTATATGGACTCTAGTCTCCTCTTCTATTATTCCTTATTTTTTAATTCCGAATTTCAACTATTTCTTAATTGTATTTCTATATGGACTCTAATCTCCTCTTCTAATATTCCTTATTTTTTAATTCTGAATTTCATCTATTTGTAAATTGTATTTCTATATAAACTCATATTTCAATATTCTTTAAATTTTAATTTCAAATTTCAATTACTTCTAAATTGTATTTCTATATTGACTTTAAACTCTTCTTCCCATGTTTTTCTTAATTTTGAATTTTAGTTATTTATAAATTGTATTTTTATACGGACTCTGAACTCTACTTCTAATATTCCTTATTTTTTAATTCCGAATTTCTTTTTTTTTCTTAATTGTATTTCTATATGGGTTCTATACTCTACTTCTAATATTCCTTATTTTTAATTCCGAATTTCTATTATTTCCTAATTGTATTTCTATATGAACTCTATACTCTACTTCTAATATTCCTTATTTTTAATTCCGAATTTCAATTATTTTCTAATTATATTTCTATATGGACTCTAGTCTCCTATTCTAATATTTCTTTTCTTTAACTCCGAATTTCAACTATTTCTAAATTGTATTTCTATATGGACTCTAGTCTCCTCTTCTAATATTCCTTATTTTTTAATTCCGAATTTTAGCTATTTCTAAATTGTATTTCTATATGGACTCTGCCTTTCTTTTTCTCTGATTAATTGTGAGAATTTCTAGGCCATGAGAGTGAACGTGGAGGCTCCTTTTTCTATTTCTTTAATAATATAATAGATAGATAGGGAGGGGGCTTAGGTCGGCCCACAAATAATAGTTGGCAGTGACAAACCCAGAACAAAATTACCGAGGGTACAATACATACTAGTTATCTAATTATCGAATGATGCACTCAATTAACATGATAGAAATTAGTTAGAATCGGATATTTTACTTGGGGTCTTGTGAAAAAAAACATATGAACGTCATTGATAGTTAGTCCAGTTCAATGAAATGAACTAAATTTTATTCTTTTAGGGTTTAAAAGTGAAACTTCATACATCCAAGTAAATTTTTAGTTGCTCGGCGCACAATAGATTTTTAATGTATTTTTCGTTAAATCGGAACAAAGTTTTCATAGCAAATACTTGGTAAATAGAATTTATTCTGGATGCCACGGACCTTTCGAACAAAAAAGGTTTGAGAAAGCATACTCACTCTGCAAGACTGGAAGTCTGGAACAGTTGGCACCGACGAGAAACCGCTCTCGAATGGCTACACTCCTGAAGCATTCATCAGTGGCAGAGCATTTTCAGCGGCTGCTACTGCGTGTAACCAGAAGTTCACAATTCCCTCATGAAAAATTACCAATCCGTAGTACGCTACATCAACAATTCAACAGCCAGCCAGCCAGTCACTAGATCAGCAAATCTTTCAACACTGTGAAGAAACACTTGTATTCTCCAGTGACTTGTGATTTTTTTTTTTGACAGACATGAGAGTGCCTGAGATTGATCACTCTCTGCAATCAGCAGTTCTAGCCATGTTGAAAGGGATACATAGCCTGTTTGGGGAGCTTTATATTCTAAGAAACAGCTGTTTGATAGTAGGGATAAAAACGGAGCGGATACGGACGGATAATGCTCATACCATATTCGTTTTCATATTTTTTACCGGATACGAAAACGAATACGGATAGCTCGAATGCGGAAACAAATACGGATTATCTCGAATACGAATAAGAATCGAATATGATCGGACACGAATACGGAAACAAATTTTTCTCGGAACACGAAAACCAACTCAACTTCTAATGGAAACAAATATCAACATATATAATTAGCTCATTTTATATAAAATGAGGTATAATTTATAAATATTTTTTAAAATTTAAATAATATTAATAGTATGGACTAGTGTTAAGAAATAAACTACTATTAAAATCTATAAAGTTATATAAAGTTATATTGAAGGTTATAGAGTTAGAAAGAAATGGGGTATGTCTCGTGGGTCCTGCGGATATCCGAATAGCACTGTTCACCGGATATCCGAATTATTATCTGTATCCGACGGAAACCCTAGTACCATATTCGTATTCGTATCCGGGAGAAAATATCCGTATTCGTATCCGTATCCGAACTATCCGAGAATTATCCGATCCGAAAGGTATCCGTATCCGCTTTTGTCCGGAGCGGACGGAAACTATCCGCTCCGTTTTCATCCCTATTTGATAGCCAACTGCTAAGAATATGGAAAAGCTCTGAAACCCAGCTTCTCCAATTTCTGGCTTCTTAGTTCATTTCTCAGAATCTGTAACTACAGATTCTCAGAAGCTGTGGACTGTTTAGAGCAGCTTCTAGCAGAAGCAGCTTTTTTCAGCTGGGAGAAGTTCCCCCAAAGATAGCCACAATCTGATCCAATTCAACTCATTCCTGTAGTATAATTGATACCAGTAGCACTAGTCTTGTGGGTCCTGTTAAGGAGCACTACTGCTACTACTCCTAGTAGATCATAATTATTTGGGGAGAAAATTTTAAGCTGAGTGGCAGCAGCAGCAACAGAGATTCGTGCAATGCATGCACAGCACCGGTGATCTATGATCTAGCCAGGACTATCTGGTCTGATGATAGTGCTGGCAATGGGCCAATAATTGTACTACCACCTGCCAACAATCAGCCAGTCCTGCAGTGGGAGTACTTCTCTTCACATGGCAAGAATCCCGACATCCTTGTACTGATATGACTAACAATTAACAAAGAATTAAGATTTTTCTTTTTGCTAATGAAATCATTTGCAGAATAGCTTCTGTTTGTAAGTAAAGATTAAAGAAAAAAATTGTAAGTCGGTGCCGATCGATAGATAGTTTGGCTTAGGCCCCGTTTAGTTCGCGAAATGAAAATTCTTTGGTGTCACATCGGACGTTTAACCGGATGTCGGAAGGGGTTTTCGGACACGAATGAAAAAAACTAATTTCATAACTTGTATGGAAACCGCGAGACGAATCTTTTGAGCCTAATTAATCCGTCATTAGCACGTGTGGGTTACTGTAGCATTTATGGCTAATCATGAACTAATTAGGCTCAAAAGATTCGTCTCGCAATTTCCCCTAACTGTGCAATTAGTTTTTATTTTTATCTATATTTAATGTTTTATGCATATGTTCAAAGATTCGATGTGATGTTTTTGGAAAAAACTTTCTACAGGTCCTTAGCATTGAGCACGAAGGTCACGTTCCTTTTCTGACGGTATATCTGCGCATTTTTCTTGTTTTTCATTCGTTTTGACTGACCTCTCTGCCATTGGTAGCCTCCAAAACTACTTGGATTCTATTTTCTTACCATGGGTTGAAAAAACCCTTTTTTTTACCCCTAGTTTTGGACATATTACTCAATTGTAGTTGTCATGATGGTGTAAACCGTTCTTTTTACCCCTAGTTTTGGACATGTTACTCCATTCTAGTGTCATGGCAGTGTTTTCTCGCTGATGTAAATGCTACTTTGACATGGGCAGTTAGTTATAAGTATACCTAATTTGAAGATGAAGAATGGCAATCCCTTTTTAAATTACACGGAAGACCGTACACGCACACAAATCACCACATGTGTTCACAAATTTAATCTGATAAGTAAAATTTATACATCCATAACTCTACCGCCACACTTACTACTCCCTCCATATTTTTTGTTTGACGTTGATTAGCTCAAAATTAAACTAACCAACGTCATATATTTATGCATGGATGTAGTACTTAACTGGCATGTAGTAGAAGTTAAGGCTTCTAGCAGAATTGAAGAACAAAACAATGTTACCTGCTCCCTATTATCTGTGTGCAGCCGTCCGATTTAGCCCGGATAACCTTCCGAGGTGATTTTGACCCATCCAAAAAATTGCCTCTTCTGATGGCAGACAGGAAACAAGCCATATCAAATTGGGTCCCTCTCTAGCTTTTCCCTAAAGGGAAAAAAATGCAACATGGAGCACACAGAACAGGAGCGAAAATTCAAAGCTTGCCCAATTAGTGGTGGGCCATGAGATCTTCTCATCATCTTGCAAAAGTGACATCTCGATCTCATCATGGGAGCATTGAACCTTGCACAAGAACTCTTGTCTCTGCCTACTTTCATTTGCTTGTGAATATGCTGTGTTGCTTGCAGGGTTCCCCCCCTGCCCACACGATTTAAGTATTCTTCTTATAAACTCTGGATTTTGTCGTTTTGAGTTTTTAATAGATTCGGGTTGTGACTCCATGCGAAAATTACCCTAGAGAGGCCAATCAGTAGTAGCTGTATTTTACTGCCAATTGGGCGTTCTCTAAAACTATAAATAGGTAGTTGGAAGCAATTGGCAGGGATAGGTTAGGCCTGCTGATTTGCGACATATTTGTTGTGTTTTTATCCCAATTCCTATCAGCGTTGATGGCTGGCACTAAAGCGACATTTTAGTCTTGGAGACCAAACATCGAGACATTGAAAACTACACCCTCGTTCCTTCCTCTCTTTTTTCTCTTTGGCCTTTTATGCTTTTTTATAATCTTTGTGTGCGCATTCTAGATCATGTTTAAACCTATCAAAATTAGATGTATAGGACGCATGCCTCTAGAAGTATCCATTCTAGTGTTCTGGATATAAAGTTTGACTCCGACATCTCCGACACAATGGCGATTTAACCCTGGATTGTGCAAACAGTATACCAGATGGTCAAACAGGGTACAGGGATATAGTGCAATATACCATGTAGTAGAAAAGAAACATTTGAGCAATGGAGTACCCATGGTGCTACAAGTATCGAGTGCTACAACTACCCAGAGGTCAACGAAGTTCAATAGAACAAATGGCCAACCACTTCAGCAGCAGCCCATAGGGGCCAAAATGTTAGGATCGCATCAGGGATTCTAAATCAGGCCCTGGCGCTGCAGATCAGTGTAGGTCTTCTTGTTGTAGATATTTCCCTCCTGATCTTCGTACTCTTCTTCTAGGTCTGGCCGCCACTTGTTCAGCCCTTGTCGTTGTTGAATTTTCTCCCAGAGTTCTTTTGCCTCCTGAAAACAGAAATAAGAGGTGTCAATTGCCCCTTCCATTACCAATTTACCACATTCGCAGCAACAGTAATTTCTGAGAACATGTATAAAAACAGCCAATATGGGAAGATTAAGCAAAGTACTCATTTCTCTCAAATTTCTGAGAGAACAAATTAAGCTATTCAGTGGATGTACAGGTAGCATAAAGTGATGATTTACCTGGATGGATGTGATTTCATTGAAGTTCTTAGTATTAGGAATTCCAAGACAGCGCATCCCGTGCTGATGGCGCCACTCCTTGAAATGCCGCTCATAAGCCCGTCGCCCCCAGTAGCTGTGGTTTCCACATATCTCACATTTGAATTCCTGACAAAAAAATCATAGCAATTAAGATATGTTAACAATTTAAAATCATATGTAAATATCTAGAACTGTATGGGAAAATGATGCCACCAATGCTGAAGCTCAGGGTATTATTGAAAAATGAATAAAAATACAAAAAATAAATGGAGCATGTGAGAATGCAAATACCATTTGTAGTCTATAGAAATTAGCATTCTGTTTTGGCAAAACAGGAATTTTGCAGCTCTAAACATTGGTAATACTAAGATATGATTTAGCAAAACAGCCATGAACTAAATAATCTTTAGATATAAACCAATGAGATATTTACCTGACCAAGACCATGGAGCTTATATAGCCAATAGGGTATAGGTTTGCCGTCCCAACCCATCGGCAACTTAAGAGGATTGTAGATTTGTTGGTCTTCATCATCACTTTCACTATCAGCTTGCACTTCTTCCTATAGAAAAAAATACAAAGGACAAAAGGTTCAGTACTTTGAGTAGAATATTATTATTTTACTTCTGTGAAGTACGGAGAAGAAAATAGAGGAAAAGTAGAACCAAGTTGTGAACTCTTGGACAAAATTAGAAGCGAAGTATCACACTAATAACTAAAATTCTAACTAAACATATCTTTACTCCCTCTGTTAAAAAATGTATGACCCAACATGACCTTTGACCTTTATTCTACTATCAGGGCCTTTTGCAGATCAGAAAACAGAATTTAAGAGGGCTGCATGCAGATTACCTCTTCTCGTTCTGCTTCCATTTCTTCATATGTGAGAGTCAGCTTCTTCTCTGCATTTTCCTTTGTCCGTACAATGATCTGCATAAATAGCATAAGATATATCAAAACATGAGCACAGGTTAACTTCATTATGGACATAAAAATGGTGTATTAAAAATATAGGCACACATTAAATATGGGATATCATGATATCAGCAAACACAGCAATTACAAGTGTTAACCTTGCTATATATTCTTGGTAGTAAGGAACAAAACAGAGTACTTTTTAACTTCTCCTACATGTAATTTAATATGTTTGTTAATTATCTTGTGCACAAAATCTAAGGTTTTCATGACTGCCTAGCAGAACAAGCATCTTGTGAAAAGTTGATGCTCCTGATGCATACTCAGGTGGTTTTGCTTTGCTATTCGTGTATTCCATGCTTAAGTGCCTAGATAACCGTTTTTGTGCCTTTTACAGCACTGGTTATGCAGTACACCACACATGAGAGTGAAATACCATGCTATGGGTGTGTTCGGATGCCCCTTTTCCCAAATCCTCTCCCTCGTTTTCCGCGCGCACGCTTTTCAAACGGCTAAACGGTGTGTTTTTTGCAAAAAGTTTCTATATGAAAGTTGCTTTAAAAAAAATCAAATTAATCCATTTTTTTAAAAAAAAATAGCTAATACTTAATTAATCACACGCTAATGGACCGCTCCGTTTTCCATGCAGAGGGATCCGGTTGGGATCCAGGAATAGCGAACACACCCTATATCAGACTACTAGACTTCTAGCCAATCAAGATAAGAAAGCATCCTGAAGATCTAACAAATTCAAAGGATCATACTATACAGCATGGATTAATAAATCCCAGTAGGTTACACTTATCAAAGCCGAAGTAGAATATATAAAGATTGACTACACAAGTACTCCCTCCGTCCCATAAAAAACCAACCTAGTACCTGATGATGTTGACACATCCTAGTACTACGAATCTGGACAGATATATGTCCAGATTCATAGTACTAGGATATGTCAAAGTCAGGTACTAGGTTGATATTTTGTGGGACAGAGGGAGTAAAAGAGAAGCATGTCATTAGATAATGCAGCTATACAAGTCCATATCAAAGGAAAGATATATACAGCCACACATAGAGCAAGGCAAAGCTGACCTCATCTAGTAGCTCACAAAGGCGCCTCATCTTTACTTCCATTAAAGCAATTTCCTTCTTCAAATTATCCTTGAAATTGTTACCATTAGAAGTAGCATTGGAGACAGAACTGTGTGAACCTTTGGCAAAATGCTTACGATCCAATTGTTCCAAGGGTGTATGCTGCAAGATATAATCATCGACAAGTTCAGAATATTTGGTAAATATTTAAAAAAAGATGAGCTGAATATCCAGGTTTAAAAGTACATTAATTACCTTCAACAAGAAAAGTCGCTCAGCACGCTGTTGAACAGTACCACCACTTTTTAATCCACGAGCAGCTAAAGCCTGGCAAAAACCAAAACCAATCAATAGGGTACAAAAGCCCAACGAAAGTTGAATAATAGGACAGGAAAAAAAAGGTAATAATAACAACGTATTGCAAGTCATACCTCTTTCAACTTTTCTGGGCCCAGCTCAACAAGCTCTTCAACAGTGGTATAGTAATCAAGGTCTATTACTGACTCTTGTGCAGATTCTTTCTCTGGGTCCTTGCTCTCCCATCCAGGCACTTCACCATTGATCCACTGTTCTTCAAACTCGCTTTCCAACTGAACAAAGTGTACTGCTTGTTAGTTTTTACTTGTTGTCTTGTTATTGTGTGAAATGCCTAACTTACATAGGAATGAAGTGTCTACGTGAACATAAAAGTGAAAATAACAGTGAGGAACCCTAGCTAAAAACACTAGAAATAGTTGCTTGAACTCTTAAATAGAATACATTGTCATTACATAGAAGTCAGTAGGATAATAAAACTAAAACATATGATGCTCAAAATTGAAAGTAAAGGGAATAGGAACCTTTGCAAAAATCTTCTCAATGTCTTGCAATGGTTCTGTGTGATACAGAAATGATGTCAGATACTCCAAAATATGCTCCAGGTATTCTCTGTATTGCCTGTCATATTTAAGAAAATTATAAATAAACAACCTTTACATAACTCATATTATTGCATATCTAAAAAAAGAGTACTACATCCAAAACAATGCAGAACGCATGAAACAAATACTAGACAGGATAAAGAAGTAAACTACGATTAATTACGCAAATACTTGAGCACATATAGTCCTATTATTCCAAAATTACGTAAGGTCCTTTCTACCCTAAACCTCCACCAGAAGAAAAAAAAAAGAAAGCAAACAGACCTAAGCAGCATGACATGCACATTCTTAATTCAAAATTCAGGTCAGGGGACATGTTTTTGGTCTAAGCAAAAAATGCATACAGCATACCTGGAGGTTTTCAGATTTTGTGCCATCTTCTCCACATGAGAAAAGGTGCCAACATATGCTGAGTATTCCATTGGAGTTCCAAACTTGGAATTTATGAACTCATTGTAAAGCTCATGCAAGTCCAGGTATCGGCCAAAAGCTTCCTATTAAATTGCAGAACCAAACCATTAGCATACTTGAATTCAGCAATGATAAAATAGTACATAGCAATGACAACCACAGTGGTGGACATGCGATGCGACTCTGGTTGGATTAGAAGTACATTGTGTGCATAGAACCAGGTCAGTAAAGATTTTAACATGAATAGCAAAGAATATTTCTCAAGTTATGGTTCTTGCGCCATAATGGTATCATTGCCTAAATCTTACCATGTATACCACCGAGATCCTACAAGAGGAATCAAACAATCCTGCAGAAATTAAAATACACGTATCACAATGGAGATACCTTCGAGTTCAAGACTACTGCAGTTAAAAGGGGTGGAAGGTGCTGATGGACTTAATGAAGTACAAGGACTCTATCGATCATTTAAATATCTTGGATATGTATGACTATTCAATCAAGGTTAAAAACAAACCTATGTAACGGAGTTACCAACTTCTGTTAAGAGAATTATATATAAACATGCTTTGTATGCCCCCAATCATTTCTAAATACTCAGAGCAAACTGCTTTATTGAAGTGTACAGAGCACACATAGTCAACATAAGTTCACAGGTACTCAGTTTAAACATGGTATACATTATGATGTACCAGTACGAAGATAAACAAAGGCAAGATTACAAGGAAAAAAATGTTACAAGTTAAATACCTCTCCAGTGAATTCAATAGCCGGTTCCTCCTTTAGTAGCTCTTCGAAATCATCAGTTGCACTAACGAAACGGGCAGAAGGATTACGCCTATGGTAATCACGGATCTGCAAACATGAAACAAGTAAACAGATTAGAAGTTAAAACGGAACAAATGCACCAAGAATAGCCCTCCACAAACATGGTTTTGGTTTGGATGGCATGTGTTTACCACAGAGGATAGATGGTCACAGGGCAACAATTAGGAAACAAGCAGGACCAACAAGGTGTGCATAACAGGAAATATAGCCAATATGCAGAGTTGCAGACAGTTCAATAAAGACGACTCTTGGTGAGCGAAATTCTGTTCTACTAATTGTTTTGCTTGTTGACCATTTAAATGTTTGGAAAACAAAGTTTAGCTTGTAAAATCATTTCAGTTATCGGTTAGCCAGATTTTGGTACACAAAACAGACTAAAAGGGACAAAAAAAATAGAAGAGAAGGCGTGTGATGCTCTTTTAGCATGTGAAGTGCACCATAAGTGGTTTATCATTTTCAGCTGTCCTAATTCGATGGCATACCCCCAAATTATATGCATTTATGTGATACAGTCAGGCTAATATGATAGATCATTACCTCTTTGAGCCTGTCATAGAACTTTGGAAAGATTTCAGCTTGCACTGTGGAACTAAGATGGTTGGAGATCTCATCCTTCCTAGCATTATCCTTGTCCTCGTAGATTTCCACCTATGTAAAATGTAGTCACATTAGCAAAAGCAAAATGTAACCGCATAAAAATGACTAATTATGCCATTATGCATCTCTCAGTCGGACAGTCAGACAACATAAACTGAGGCAAAACAAGCAGGGAAACAATCATCTAAGATCACCATGACATTTGCCTTAGACTTTGGCAGGCAAAAGGCCCAAAAATCCATGTGCCTAGCTAGAATTCCCATCTCCAATGAATTAATACGTATAAGCATAGCCAAACCAACAAAAGGAGAATATTATCTTAGAACAACTCTGCAGCCCCGAGTCCACCTTAAGTAGCCCCGATTCAGAGTATATCGCAAAACCTAAGCATCACAGATGCACCGACATGCGAAATCATCAAACCCTAGCTGCAACATAGCTCAGAACGAAACAAAATCTAGTGCATCCATGAGTCAACCGGGAAAACCCTAGGCTGAGGGAAGGGGGGAGGGAGGAGGGGGGTTGCTTACGAGCTTGCCGGAGGTGGAGATGACGAGGTCGAGCATGTGGCGCACGCGGTGGGACTGGTAGAGGCGGTCGCGCGCGTTGGCGGGCTCCCGCTGCAGCTCCCGCACCGCCAGCCGCTCCAGCCTCTCCATGTCCTCGTGCTTCGCCCGCGTCGCCTCCAGCACCGTCGACGCCATCGCCCTCCGGTGCTGCCTCGACGCCGCGGCGGCGGAGGTGGGGAGGGGAGCGCGCGCCGCCGCCGCTAGGGTTTTGGGGGAATTTTTTCGCGGTCGGTGACGGTAAGTGTAGGAGGCTACAGAAACCGGCTCGGGTGGACGCGGCGCGTTAAGATGGGAAAGGGGAGGCTCTTGGCCGTTCGGCCAGTCGGCTGTGTTATGTTTATAATATGATTTTTTAAGCAATTTTTATATATATTTTTTTAAAAATGTACCGTTTAACAGTTTGAAAAATGTACGCGTGAAATATGATATAAAGGGGTTGAGAATCCAAGGTTCCAAACCTCGTGATCCGCTCTCTTTTTGGGAGCTTAACAATTGTGATAAATTAGTTAATAAGAGTTTATAAAGGTTATTCTGATTTTTAGTTTATTTTTTTATTCTATAACTATATAACTATAGCTTCTCAAAATTAGTTGCAGTTTCTAGAAGAATCTTCAGCCGTAGGAAGATCCCCAAATAAACCTTATATGGCATTTTATTATTGGCTTTTCTTTCTCTGTGTGCTTGTTATGTATAGTTTTGGCTAGAATCTACTCACACATTTTGAATTTTTTAGCTCTAATTTTAACAGTGAGTTTAAGTTTTTTTTATTTGAATTTTTTTCATTAGTAGTTAGAACTGAGAAAAAGGAATAGCTAACTAATAATAAGTTTAGGTGTCTTTTTATTAGAAGTAATCCTACATCAAAATCTAAAATATAAAATCACTGTCTGGTGAGTGAGGTTGTGTTTGGCAGGCTATGCAAGGATTTTTCATGTATTGGATTGGGTTAATTGTAAAAAAAATTGCAGGCCATCAGGAGATGTGATATTACGATTGGTGGTGTGTTCCATGGTAGATAGGATCTATGAAGATTGAAAAGGGCAAGGAGCATGAAAATTGCTGACCACATGTATAATAATACTACTAATTAGAAGAAAAGAAATCTGTATTATGGTAGTTTTGTGTTAGGGCAAATTATATAGTTAATAACTTCTCCCTTTTCTCTATGTTCTCGCGTGTAATCCCAAAACATGTTGCTCATCCATTGGTTACTACTCCATAGTTATCCCCGCATCTTCTTATTCTCAACAAATCATGGGACCCAATATACTTATTTTCCACATGGAAACACACATTGCAAGGAAGTCGATATAATGATGGCCTAGGAAAACTATTAACACTTCAATTGCCATCGAAATCGACAATGATAGTTACAACTTCTTTGCTGATGGAAATGGTTGTTCCTCTTGTAATCTTAACATGACAAGGCCTTGCTCTTCAAGTCCTCTTGCCGTCAACGTGTATCACGATAACAGTTATATGGTTGATGTACAGTATATCGATAGCTATCGGAGTAGTTGTTTGGACTGTTTTTTAGCACTTCATCTCTAATTTCGTGTAACATACTCCCCCTCCGTCTAGAGATATAAGCGTGTCTGTAATTTTTTTTAATTAATGCTGTGATTAGTTGATATGAGAAAGTGGATGGTTCATATGAACAAGTAGTTGGAATTGTGCAAAAATCAAGATGTGTTTATATTCTTCTATGGAAGTAGTAGTTTGAAGTCAAAGCCAATGACAATCACATATGTAGGTATTTATTACAAGTACCATCAATTATTCTCAAGTTGGTCGATTCTTAACCATCCTATTGGTCCACGTGTCACCCTAATATTTGAAGATAAATCTAAAATATCTACAAGAAGAAAATACAGAGAAGAAAAGAAACCATCCAAAAAAACACAATCCGCATAAAGCCCGAGGCTTCTCGAAAAGCTTCTGCCCCATGGGTAACGGCGCACAAGGCCGAGGCTCAAGACCATCTCCAATATCTCCCAAATGCCCATGTTTGCACTTTCACCCCTGTGAGTTTCACCAGATAAATAATACTAAAAAAACACCATTAGCTGGTCCATTCAAGACTACCTCCATTATTCTGCTCTTTAGCTTATTAGCTGCAGGCATTTTTTCCAATTTTATTTTTAAAATCATAAGTTATTTCTTTCAGTTATAAGAGTTAACTCCGACACTGCTGAATTTTTATAAACAGAACCTTGGAAGTTCTCGTGTTAGGACTGACACTTATTAATTTCAACCTCTATATAATAATTAAACTAAGTTCTAAAGAATTCACAGCATATGTCTAAAATAACATCACTTAATATGATTCGAGGGCTAAAATTTTTCCCAAGCACCAATAGGCGCGTAGAATTCCTAGTATATAAAAAAATGACAATTAGATGCTACGATGCCATCCAAATGTCACGGCATTTCTTTCTCCACTCCCAACTCATTATCCTAAGGCCATGTTCAACGCTCCAGCGTGGAGCGTGGTCTCACCACACCCGAGGGGAATATTCCCGCCAGCTCGGCCATAACTGCACCCCGCCAAAGCACCCGAGGGGAATATTCCCGCCAGCTCGGCTGGAACTGCACCCCGGCAGAGCGCCGCGACCCCCAGCAGAGGGCCGCATAGTTTGGGCAGCTTTAGGGCGAGGCACGGGCGAGGAGCCGCGACCGCCACCGCTCGATCTGCCACCCCCAGGCTAGGCCCACTTACATCTGGCAGCTTTTCCTCGCCCGTGACCGCCACCGCTCGATCTGCCACCCCCAGGCCAGGCCCACTTACATCTGACAGCTTTTATAGGTCATAGACTACCCTCACAGACCAACACAATTCTTTTCTGCACACTTTGTCCTCACTCGTGTGCACCCATCCCTAAATTGCTCTAGACCAAGCACACTTAACCTCAGAGTTCTTTAGAGATCGGCTTCCGGAAAAGAAGTTGCAACTTGTTGATATGATTTTTCTATTAATCCTATTAAGCCCTGGACCGGGATGTCACAGCCTCGATCCGCTGCCGCCGCTGCTCGATCCACCGCCGTCGCTGCTCGATCTGCCACCGCAGCAGCTTGATCCGCCGTCGTAGCGCCTTGATGCGCCGCCGCCGCGCCTTGATCCGCTGCCGCAGGAGCTCGATCTGTCGCCACCACTGCCGCCTAGGGCCGGGGAGAGTGGCGGCACTGGGGAAGGAGAGCTGGAGAGAGAGAGAGAGGAGGTGCTGGGAGAGATGGGGAGGAGAGAGGGGTTGATGTTTATATATGTCTGTGATTTTTAGGAGGTATACTGTAAATAATGGATGTATATACAAATAAAAATAATCTAAGGGTTTAAATGTAAAATGTGACCGACTAATAGGTGCTGCAGTGCAAAAAAAATAAGATGGGTATATGACTTGCATTGTGTGAGACATATCCCTAGCTGGGTCTCTAGTCACTTTTGTCCATGTGGATGGTGGGGGTTTCCTTGCGTTGAAGATGGCCTAAGGTCCTTGAAGTAAGGACTGCCCTGAGAAAAGAAAACATGGAGGTGGCACAAATTAGGAATTATGTACTTATGTTCATGTTTTATTATAGCCGTCTCATAATCATGCAACCACGATATATCAAAGAAACATGATTTTGGTGAAACGATGACAACATACATAATTAAAAAAAAACAGTAGAAAGATTGGAACAATACTACCATCGTCCCAAAATATAACTACCTAATACAGGATGTGACATCACATAGTACTACGAATCTGGACAGGTAGCTATATTTTGGGACGGAGGAAGTATAATCTATAATATCATACTACTATAAGTTGTTTTCACTCTTTTTTTTTTTTGAAAAATAATACTATAGCTCGTTCCAAAAGCACGTGAACAAGCCTATAAATGTGTCACACATGTCAGTTCAAGCTATTGAAAGAATGGTACTAGTATCATCCGCCATGCTAGGCTGCCCATCCATTTTGATGAAGCAAATTAATTTACTCTATAAATTATTTGTTGCCATTCTACTACAGCACTAGCAAAGAACCAACTGACATAATCCCTTCGTCCAAAAAAGAAAGAACCAAGTTATTCAGATTTATTGTTCTATATGGTGTTAAATTATCATCTAGACTGGCCTTTTATTAGGGCGGGAGTGCTCACTATAGGCTGTGTTTAGTTCACACTAAAATTGAAAGTTTGGTTGAAATTGGAACGATGTGACGGAAAAGTTTGAAGTTTGTGTGTAGCAAAGTTTTGATGTGATGGAAAAGTTAGAAGTTTAAAAAATTATTTTATAACTAAACACGGCAGTAATTAATAATGACTCACTCCCGCACACAAAAATTATTACTCCACCACCAGCCTACCCATAACGAAGGCCACATGAAAAGAGAACAGCAGCTGCTGCTGTACTACGCTGCAACATTTGCAGGCGGATACGAGGTTTTATCACTCAATGCTGCGTGTGTGAACAGAAGCTATGAGCTGATATAAATGATGACACACAAAACATTGGAGTATATTATATACGAACAGCTCTAAATTAATACCGGTTATACGAAAAATACCAGCCATTTTTTATACCAAACTTAATACTACTTTTTAACTTAAACTTTCATTGTAAACCTCAATGTAAACCTTGAACTTTACATTGTTTAGCGTTGTGACAAGTTAGAAATGTTTTTTTTTCACAAGTTATGTATGCACAAGTGAAGAGTAAACAATGTAGCGTAATAGCGCATACGTGAACAATGTCTACGTAGGAGGGCCAACGACCTTGATACGATTCTGATATACATAGTACGTGAGACAGTACGCAAGTTGGCAAAGTCAATGTGTACAAAAAAAAAAAAGGAACTAAACAATGGGATCCGATCCGGTCGGACCGAACAGTACGTTGGCTGTGGTTAGCTATATTAATACAGCCTTAACCCACAGTGATCCGTTGTTTAATCGGTTACTTAGGCATGTGGCCTAAACCAGACACACGCATGCATGCGCCGCGTCAAAAATAATGTGAACAGATGCTTGTACTGTGTAGTGCGTGCTAATGTGCCATTTATTATTTTTTATTTTCTTCACCTTTTTCGCTATAAAAAAATTTAAAAAACAGTGCTCGTGCTGCCTGATGATCAGTTCTGCCGTGTTTTCGGAGCAGAAAGTGATAAATAATTCTCCAGCTAATTAATGATTGACCTTACACCTATTTATGCTGCTGGAACTAATGATTTGGATCAGCTTAAAAATAGCTTAAAAATTGGTTACTACTATAACACACAGTTGGTGGCTGATGAGATCGTCTCGAATCGCCATCAAAACGAGCTTACG